ACAGCGTAGAGATATGATTTGATGTATTATTAGTCGATCCAATAAAACCAGAGCAGGGACATGGCAGACTGTATGTATACGCGAAATGCAGGTGGCAAAGGGCGACGGAAGCATACTTTGTTTTATCGAACATATGGGTTACCGCCTTAGATCGAAAATATTGGGTCGGGTGGATAAGAAATGTTTATCGGAGACTATATATTATTTTATTACTTTAGAATACCCTAGAGGCCTACTAAGCGTTAAGTCACCAAATCGGGCGACCGGTAGCTGTTTATCCAAACAGGTGAATGTTCTAGTGTTTCCTTTGAATTCTGTCTGAAAATGATAACTCATTCATTTTGTCTTGTTACAAGGTACAAAATAAATTGGAACTCCCAAAACAAGCAGATTTGAGACATGAAATAACAACGTTTGCTAAACTAAGAAGACCAATTAAATTGCGAACTACGATCATGAAAGCAGGATTTCTTCATGTATTGGCCTAAACCATTGCCTTTAGGTCTGCTAATTTACAGGCAGTCACTCTTTTGATCAAATTCAAATTGAATGTAGCAGCTTTTACGGGGATGAATGTTTACTGATAAGATTCATATATTTTAAGTACAAATTAATTGCTATTACAAGAAAATGTGTTCCTTTGCAGTAAAATTAAATCATATTGTCATGTTCCGATTTTCATATGCTCAAAATACCCCCCAATTACATATATGTGGAATGCTTTACTTAATTAGGATGACGCAATTATGTGTTTTTCTGTGTAAATGGCTCTCTCAATTGAAAGTTTCAGATTATCGTGTGAAATAAAATCCAGAAAACAGTTCGCCGGCAGGGGGGGGAAAGAATTTCTCGCACATAGTCAGACTTCTGGATATGTACAGCATGCTTCGGTTCTCTGACTAAAGCCGCCATGATGACTTTAATATAGGCAGTTAGTCGTTGGATCAAGAATAAAACTATCATACTCCTTCAGAGTGATCTTGCATGTTCATCTAATTACGACAACTCAATGCTTGGGGGAAGGGGGAGGGATTATTATCAGAGAATAGTCTAGGAGTGCATTACACATCACCTCGCATGGCCTTAGTGACTTGCCTGGGCATTGAAGCTTGAGCCATGAAGAGGAGATCCATGTTACACGCAAGGATGGGAAGATGACTGTCAGGATAATTCTCCGGCTTATGGTCTGGCTTACCATTGGTGACAAGGAGGTCGATAAGCAGTTGGAGATACATCTCCCAGTGCGTTGGCTCACCCAAAAGTAGGATTGCTGTATTTTAGCCAGAGAGTAGATTAGTCAATACTGAATGGTAGTGAGTAGCTGGTCTACCTCATAAAATGTTGCCCGAAATTTCGAAAATGGTTTTGGAGAAAAAAAGTGTCACTTAATTGGGTATAGCGTCATCCGAAAATAGGATGTCGGCAGAATGTTGACTTTTGAACGGGTTAATCTTCGGCCGCCTGTAAACATTATACTCACTAGTAGGCATTTTCGTCTTGATTTTCGATGCCCTTATAAATACAAATACACTTTTAAGAAAACCTGCATCAAATATTCTCTCTTGTACTCACTCAGTAGCATATTTTATCTTCAAATGTTATAATTAGAGAGAGTATCTTTCGGCTTTAAAAATATTATTCCTGAATAATTTGGACTCATATCTGCAGTCACACTTGCGCTTATGGTTCCCAAACTACATGCTTTAACCGTTCAGCATAGGAAGTATATATGCCGTTAGGTTATTACAAAGGCATTTAATACGACCTATAATATTTGGCTAAAAATGTGGGCCATTTTGCAGCCTCAGTAAGCAGCACTAATAAACAAATATATAATATTACATAAAGTGACAGAGAGGCACACACCGATCAGTTATAGGACACATTCGTCCCTCCTGCTGCCTTTTGAACTACACTCTTAAACCACACCGCAGAGCGGATACGAATATAGGCAGAAGGAAATTACAGCCAAATACAAGGGAGACTAGGATGGCCATTTCTGACTCATTAGGCGTCGTCAGCTAGTCATAACCAACCGCAAACAGCGCCCCACCCGAGGTTCGAACCCGCGACCTTGTTATTTTGAACGAGGCCGTGGAGCAGTAGTTAGAGCGTTGGACTTCTTACTAGCGAGGTCGCGGGTTCGAACCCCGGGTGGGGCACCGCTTGGGGTTGGTTATGACTGGCTGACGATGGCTACTAACCCGGAAATGGCCACCCTAGTCTCCCTTGTATTTGTCGGTAATTTCTTTTTGCCAATATTATATATGAATTGGCATATGATATTATATAGACGGACCTTGTGCGGTCCTCCAAAATCTCATAATAATGAACGTTTTTTTAAAGCGATGCGCTTTGTTCAGGCATAACAAAGAAACAACAGATGATGTATTATGAAATGAGTGCAAGAAAGAACATACATTTTTTTCGGTTTGCTGTAAACTGCATTCAAAGTTATAAGGGCACCTGAAAGCAATTCGTAAAATGCCTAATAATTTAGTAGCCATTTTTAACTAATCTGTATTTTTTACAGGAAACAGAAAATAAGCTTTCTCAGAAACAGACATACTGTTGTGATTGATTTATCCTGGGATAATGTCGTACGATACTCAGTACTACGACCTCATCTAAATCCGTCTTTCCAATTGCAAATGCATTTCAAAATTTCAGTTAACGTTTCATGAAATAGAACAGTTGTTATACAAACATGAAAAATTTTTAAGATATCCTTGGCTTACCCTCGATTCGCGGGAAGTTCTTGTCCTCGGTGTAGCCTTTCGCCTAAAACATTGATCCGAATAGTAAAGGAGTCGAACAGATTTCTAGCATTATTTCCTATTTAATGTGACCCCGAATACATGCTAATCGTCAAGGACAAAAGAAACCCGACCGACGATGATGGCGATAACGCTGCCATGAGGCATGGCATATACTGTGTAGGATGAAGCTTTGGTGAAGTCGTTTTTTTACTGGATTTAGGACTCCATAGTACTATCATTCCGATCAGAGATGAGTTATGCTCAAATTTTGCATGGTAAAGGCGTTTATCAGACAGTGTTTAACTATTTGAAATATAGGTGAGCGACCGCAGCTATATTGCGGATGAACTTGCGTAAACCTGGTGGGATCGTCTTTGACATATTTGCAGCTTCGCTCAACTAGTATTACGCCAATGCGGGATCACTGAATCATGGGTGCACACAACGTCCCCTGAGGCTCAAAATTAGCAGTCATAGCATAGTGTATTTCAACCATTTATCATAGTTGTACGGTGGACGATTGGTGTTCCGTTTACTCTTGCCACTCTGATTCAGCGTCAACATAGTTCACCGAGCCAGGTGGCAGTTTCAGTCAGCTTCAAACTCCGAGTCTAGCCAGTAGTTTGTGAAGCACTAGCAGTGGCGTTTGTGGGATTTTCGAAGTCGCATGGAGATGCCTCCTCTAATCTTCAAAAACCAGAGTCAATTATAGACAAGGCCAGTCTATTCTAGTAAAAAGTAACGAAAGGGCTGTCTCCAAATGTAGAGATGGTAAATGTAAATACTTTGTCATGTGAATGGCTTGTTGGTAAAATGATAACGAAGGCGTCATTTCTAATCTTTTTTGAAGTAAATTCAATTTGGAATTTTCAAAATTTGGCTATTTTCGATTGAGGTTTTGCCAATAATTGTCAAAAAATGTCCGTGTTCAAAAGAATGCAAGCTGGTATTCCATCTAACTAACAAAGAAGGTGGACATCTAAATGTCTCTTTTTGCCTTATTTTGGACCGTTAACCAGCAGTACCGCAACAAAAGTCGCACGTCGTCTATTTGATCTTGCTATAGGTGGCAGTTATGCATTTTTAACTTAACTGATCTCCCCCTTGAGCGACTGGTTCTCCTTAAACTGAGCACTTTATGATTTCTCTAGATAAGTAAGGCACTGGCGGTCAAATGAATCCTTCATACATGCAAGGCGGAGAGTTAACTAGAAAATATGGTTCCACCTGAAGCATATGTTCCGATTTTTCACTAAAACATGTCAGTTGAGAAGTTTATTGGCAAAGAATCATAAAACTTTGTAGTTCCCATGGTCGCGCTCTTACATGGTAAATGTTGAAGATCTTGACGACGAGAGGTATTTGTTCAGTTAGTTCATTAAAAGAACACTCGCTCCATGTTACGATTACTTCGTAAAAACAATACAGCATGAGAGAAGCTTGCCCTTAGCCAAGGAAGTTGTCAAGAGCAGCAAAATAATATTTGAATATGGACCACTTACGACAATTTTCCTGTTTTCATGATCAACCATGTCCAAAAGCGGGTAGGCCTTGGCCACCTGGTCCATTGTATAGACATCCGTGAAACCCAAATCACTCGCCCATTCTCTAACATCACCTTGTCCCACGACGAGAACTTTGTGGTGGTGCCACTGGGCAAATGATTTGAAAGGACTCGGGGCGAAGATGATTTGCTCCAGTTCTAACTATGTATGGGTAGCATAAACGGCGTTAGGAACATTGTAGTGATCAAACGACGAAGCATGATAAAGCAGGCCATATATAAATGATTAAATGCAATACTTGTGCTCTCTCTGTGCTAATCTGACAGACCGGACTTTGGAAATTTGCCATAAGAACAACCCATATCTCATTTTCGTTTTCTCAGGATCGACCAGCCCTTCGATTCATTAACGTATTTTGAGGCGAAAAATTAATTCATTGAATGCAATACAAATGACATGAAATACACCGACGATCACTACTTCCAGAACTCGATATTCGACGTTAGGCAGAATAAAAAGTTTCGGTTAGCAGAACAGCAGATTGTTTTTAAAGGCGATTAGTAACACCTACTGACGTTGACACCTTCAAATTATGAAAATATAGTTTAAAAGACCATACAAAGTACCCTGCGAAGAAATTCTCAACGCAAACACCCACTTGCGTACTAAAGTAATTCTATTCTCTTAACCACTTTTATTGTTGCCATGTACGTTTCAGGAAAGAGCCAATCAAGTATTAAAATATTTAGCATGAACTTTGCATTGAAAAAATAAATCTTGGTTCTCATGTAACTATTAATGGCTTTAAAAAACCGCGATAGAGACAGCAAATACAGTGTGATCAAGAATACGTCAAGGAAAAATGTTTAGGCATAACGTTAATGTTTTCAGGACACTCAAACTGTCGCCCAAACTACATAATTGGGAATCTGAATTTCGTGACCAGTCCAGAGCATGTTTCCTGTATGACTCTATTCATTTCCATCCAGGTTGACAAGCCTTTGGCCTAGTTCTGTCCTTAGACTATTAAGGGTACCAGTCGGTGGCCTGCACGAAGCTGCGATGGACAGGTGCTCCTTACAAAGATCCACTTCTAGTCAAAAATCTCTTTCCCTGGCTTTATCGTAGAAAAGACCTTCGAGTTTCTAAAATGAACTTCCCCCGTTCAGTACTAGCAGGCATTCAAAAATTTCATACTTATTTTGGAGCTCTGGATCCTGGCTCTGTTCCCCTCTGACTAAAAAAAAAACAGAGGTGCAGAAACTCGGACTTTGGATTTCCGGGGAAGCTCTTCTATGTACTTTTCAAAGAACAAACCATAGAAGCAGCTCCTGGTCTCGATAAGGGGTGTTTGTGTTTGATACTCGTTATTTTCGTGCACTCTGGTGCGTTAAGGAGTATAATACCTACGAACTACGACACTACTACAAATTGTGTCGGGAAAGAACTCGAAATGAAGGTAACACTCGGACTTCCTCAAGGATTCTGAGAATGGTTCTGCGGTCAACTATTATCAATTGCCGACAACTTTCCTCTTTTGGTACCAGCCGTTCTTCCCTAGTCAAAGTTAAACCCATAATACGGTTCTGTGATCACTCAAAATTCGAAATATGGTTGCGTGCAACATTTCTGGGAGGCATCTATGACCATTTTTCCTGTATTTAAACGTGGCAATGTCAGTTGACCTGTCCAGCACACAGATGTAAGTTATAGAAATTGGTCAATCAGCAGTTTGGTCCCTTTTTGCTAACAGGTCACATTCGCCATTTCTTCTGACGCTTTCTCACGACACTTTCATTGGTGGCTCAACTGTCGCGTGTAAAGATACTATCACCACATGGTCTGCCCATGGTCCGTGGTTCGAGTGTACTTTTATTTTTTAGATTGCACTGAACATTTGTCCTCAAACAGTTGTCCTCATAGTCTCAACTAAATTAACAACTTATTCTGTACTTATCTGCTTCAATTATTAACCCAGGGCAAGATAAAGGCGGCGATATTCAGCAGCTAAGGTCGACTTACCTGGATATTGAAGGTTGATTCCAGTTGCTTCCTCTTCACCTCCGGTTGGGACATGGAGTTTGTAACAAAGGCAATTGGCACGCGCAGTTTTCCATCTTTGCCTTTGAGTAAGTCCATTGCAACTTTTGCCTCGGGAATGGGAGTTGAACCACGTAGCAACACTCCGTCAATGTCGAAGAGTAGACCAAAGTTGGGCTGTTGATAAGTAGATGCATCAATAAAATAAAAATTTCCACTTGTTATCTGTATGAAGGAGGAGCTGGACTTGCGCGTCTTCGTGTCGTGTTTCATATAAATAGTCGTGTTCAAAAATCCCAACTTTCTGACTAGCAGCATATTCAGCTACTTTCTTACAATGGAGAAGTTGGAAATCATGTGATAGTTGGGAAATATTGCTAAACATTGATTACCGGAATAAATTTTACGAGGCAATGTTAACAAAATAGTCAGCAATTAATTATGTAATAATAGGCGATTCTTATCAGGCATGGTGCGACCCAATGAGCCCAATGTGTGGGTTATACTTCATAAAACATGTTTTGCACTTGCAAGCGAAGCTAAAACAATCCTTAAACACCAGTTTGGTCCACTTGCTAAACAGATAACGTATATACAAATCTTATCCACGAACTCAAGCTGAGTAAATAGTGACTACGTTGGTTTTGAAAATGAGTAAACAGCAAGCCAAAGCCCTCTGTTTAGGACCCACTTTTTTGCACTAGAAACAAAATACATCCGACAGAGATTAAATTTAGGTTTGAAGAATTATACCACCAGTTATCGTTCTCAGCACTGACGTCAAAAGACTATGTCAGATTGCTGAAAGTACAATTCCTGGATAGAACATCCTTGGTTAACAAACGTTCTTTGTAGGCTAAGTCGTAGCTCGTAGCTCCAAATGACCCACGTAAAGCAAGAAAGGTTATTATTCGGAGATTTGAAAAGCGTACGGGGTGTAATGCTAAACAAGACTGATAGCGCAAGTAAGATAAAGATAGTACAGGACGGCCCCAACAAATTTCCTCCTGAAACCCAAAGGGAGAAGAAGCAAAACATCGGAATATCTTGTTCGAAAACCTGAGACAACTGTTTGAGAATGAAATTATAGATCAGAAAGGTTTTGCTTGTTTTAGGCCCTTAGGCCCATGTAATCCCAGACTATACGGAGCCTAGAACGGCCAAAATCAGCAGTACCGTTACGACCAATTTTACCAATGAGGAATGCACCCCAACGAAACTTCATCTATTGGTTAGTCTAACAAATTCAAATGCTTAGGCGCAATCTTGCTGGCTACTCAACCACAGCTAATTGTGCATTTGTAGATGAGCTGATGTATTAAAATCCCCTGAATAAACACATGAACTCGACTGACGTAATTTCCCTGCCAGCTTAATCCCCGGATTCCTTCGTGCTCTAGACGGGGTAATCCCGGGAAATACGGGATAATACGGGGATGAAAAACTTTGATTAACGAATTATATCTACAGAGCCCATTTTTCAAAATCTTATTTTTTATCAATAGATTATCAAGCACATTATCCTCTAACAAAACAATCAACTTGGGGTCTAAAAAATGAGAACAA